TCTTCTCCGTGTTTTCCTGTCCCTCTCGGTCATCCTCCCCTTGCTTCTCCATATCACCCTCCTCCTCTTCCTCCTCTTCCTCCTCTTCATCCTCAGCATCATCATTATCCTCCTCCTCCTCCTTCTCCTCCTCGTCCACCTGTCCCTTTCGCCCCCTCCCCCTCCTCATCATACTGTTCCTTATCCGTATCCTCATCCGTCTCCTCCTCTCCTTCCTCCTCCTCCTCCTCCTCCTACTCCGACCTCCTCTGCCGCCTCCTCCCCCTCCTCTTTCTCCTCCTCCTCTTCCTCCCTCCTCATCCTTCCTTCTTCTCCTCCTCGTTTTCCTTATCCTCCTGCTCCTTCCTCCTTCTTCCGTCTCCTCCTCATCCTCATCCTCCTCCTCGCTCCTCCTCCTCCTCCTCTCAATCATCCGCTTCATCCGCCTCCTCTTTACTCCTCCTCCTCCTCCTCCTCCTCCTCCTCCTCCTCCTCCTCCTCCTCCTCCCTCCTCCCTCCTCCTCCTACCCCTCCTCCTCCTCCCCCTACCTCCTCCTCCCCCTCACCCCCCCTCCTCGTCCTTCTTCGTGGCCCACTAATGCGTTAGCCCAGTAGCTCTCCCCGCGCTTACCCCCCCAGTCCCGCGGCTCTCGACCTCTTCGGACCCGAGCCCCCGTGGCCTGGGCGGGGCGGGTCTCGAGTCTGCGGCCCCCCCCCCCCCCCCGCCGCGCGCCGCGTGCCGCCGCCGCCGCCGCCAATCCCGAGGCTGTCGAGCAGGTTTCCCGCCGCCCAGCAGAGCCCCTCCTCGCCCGAGGGCGTCTCTTTCGCGACTGGCGGGGTGAGTCTGGCCCCCTCTCGCGTCGTTTCCTGCCCCTTCCCCCTCGCCTCTTCTCCTTCCCCTCTCTCTTCTCCCCCCCCTCCTCTCTCCTCTCTCCTCCCTCCTCTTGCCTGCTCGTCGTCGCACTCGCCTCGCCTCCTCCTCTCGCCCCCCCTCTCCTCCCCCAGGCTGGCCGCCCAGCGTGGGCCTCGCCTCGCGCAGAGGCCCCCCCCCCGAAGGAGGAGGAGGAGGAGGAGGAGGAGGAGGAGGAGGAGGAGGAGGAGGAGGAGGAGGAGGGAGGAGAGTGAGGACGAGGATGGAGAGGCCGAGGATGAGACTGAGGAGGAAGGGAGGACGAGGAAGGATGAGGAGAGGAGAGAGCAATACTAGGGGAAGGAGGAGGAGGATGAGAGGAGGAGGAGGAGGGGAGGAAAGGAGTAGAATGAGGAGGAGGAGGGAGGGAGGGGGTAGCGAGCAGGAGCATGAGCATAAACTCACTAGAGGCAGTGTAGGAGAGGAACAGGAAGAGGATCGAGGAGTAGGCGGGAGGAGAGGAGGAGGAGGAGGAGGAGGAGGAGGAGCAGGAAGAGGAGGAGATCTCTGTGGGCCCCCCCTGCGGGGGGCGCGGGGCGCATCGCGCTCCGCCAGCGGGCGCCCTGTGGCCACCCCCCCGCGGGTGGCGCGGAGCGCAGCGCGCCCCGCGCGTCGCGAGCTCTGGGCCCGCGCGGCCACCCCCCTCCGACGGGGGGGCTGCGCCGCAGGGGCGCGCAGACGAGTGGCGCGCCGCGCCGTCGAAGGGGCGCGCTGGAGGCGCGATGTTGGGCGACCTGGGCGCCTTCTCCTCCGACTGATCATTGTCATTCGTATCATCACCAGTATTATTATTACTAGTATTATGCTGCTCCCTCCTCCTCTTATACTAATATCAAAACTATGTTTGTGTACCATCTTCCTCCTCTTCCTCCTCCTCCTCCTTCCGGCCCGCGGGGTCTGCTCCCGGGCCCCAGGGCCAGTCGGACACGGATGGAAGAAGAAGGAACGCCACAAGCACAAACTGTTAGCGCTCTGCGTGGATTACTCTTGAATCTGCGCTGGGTGCCCCCCCCCCGGTTGCGCCTCTGGCGCCGCCCCTGGGGGTCCGGCGCAGATCCAAGAAATTCGCGCGGAGCGCCAGAAGTTTATGTGTGTATGCCGCTTGTTTTATATTCTGTTGGATGCGAAATTACGGGCTAGCCCTGGGGAAGCGGTTGGGACCTTCTGGCACCGCGGACTGAGAAGCTCGAATCGGCGGGCGCCAGGGCCCTCCTCTCTCCAGAGGGTCGTCAGAGGAGAGGAATATATACCGATATGCCGCGAGCTGTCCCTCGTCGCCACTGCTGTCGACTAGACGTAAGAGTGACCTCTCGCCGGAGGGACCTTTGGTGCGGGCACAGATGGGTCCCCAGATGGCTGAAAACGAGGCAGCAGCAGCTTCTTGCGCGCCCAGGTTTGGTCCCCCGCGGCACCCAAAAAATCGCGCACCAAAGGTCACTCTTACCCAGGGTCACTCTTGCGTATAGCCGATGATGGACTCGCTTCGAAAACATGGGAACAACGCACCCTGGGAGGGGTCCGTGGAATAGCCGTATCGGTACTTTTCCGTTCCCCCACAGCGTGCCCCCTCGCCCAGTCCAAAGAGATTTTTCTTCGTCCACCTGGATCCTCGAGTTCCGAGGCCCGAGATTGTCGGATATGTTCGGTAGTTGGTCTCCAGCGGGGCCCTACGTGGCCTCCAAGGGTTTCCAGGGGCATGATCCTTCTTCCTCCCTCCTATTCCCCTCATCGTTTTCCTGCTCATACGCTTCCTCCTCCTCCTCCTCCTCCTCCTCCTTCCTCCCTCCTGGTATCACGTACAGCGCAGCCGCGGCATGGCGGCTTGCTCTTTTGCGACTGAAGGGGTGCGGCGCACTCGGCTGCATGTGTTCTCGGGGACAGCCACCTCGCAGGGCTCCCTGACCCGACGGCTCCGCGGATTTCTGCGTCCGCCCTTCTGGAACAGCAGCAGCAGGACGTTGGCGAGATGTGCTCCTGGACGGCCAGCGGCCGCCCCGCCCGGATTGCACCTCGCAGACAGCAGACAGCAGCAGCAGGAGATTGGTGAGATGTGCTCCTCGATGGCCAGCGGCCGCCCCGCCCGGATTGCACCTCGCTTTAACTTCCTTTTGTACTCTTTCAGGAATACCTTCACAACAATATTATCAATCAATTAATGGATTCATCAATGAAAATAAATTAACAAATAAACAAGTATCGGCTGCCTGCTTGCGCGCCGCCCGGAGGGGGCCGGCCGCGAGGCAGCCGCCCCAGCCGCGCGCGATGCATGGGGCAGCGCTGGGGGCTTCCGCGGGCCGTCGCCCGCGCTCCTGTCTCTACGTCCGCGCCTCCCCGGCACACTCGCGTCCACCGTCGCCAAGCGTTGAAAGGTTCGGAGGTGGACAGAGCTCCTGGCCTTTGTGGGCCTCGGAAACGGCAGGGCCGTCTTTTTTACCGTTTCCCCAAAAATGTCCCTTGAAAATGAAAACGGCAAAAAAACGGCGACCGAAAACGGCAAAAAAACGGTTCCAGGATTGGAACCGGAGCCGGAACCGGTCAAAAAACGGCGACGGAACCGGTACAAAAACGGCGTCGGAACCGGCAACAAAAACGGCAAAACGGAACCGGTACAAAAAAACGGCCCTGTCGTTTCCAGGGCCCACTGAGATAGAGCTCCTGCCCTGACACGTCGATTAGCGAATCGGGGTTTTCGGCTCGCGAGAGGGCGTCGCGGCCGTCGTTTTTGCGGGTCCCGGTCCGTCGGTTTTTAGTCTGGGGCTGTTTTCGCTTAGGGGGAGGTTTGCGAGGGGGAGGTTGTCCACCGCCGAAAAGTGCTGAATCCAGCATCCGAGGTGCCTGCCCATGTAGAGCTCCGCTGGCAATCACCGCGGCGCGAGCTCGCGCAGACGTCCCCGGCCCACCAGGGACGCGTGGCGGAGACACTCTGGCGCAGGCTGGATCACAACAAGTTCGGCAGCCTCGTCCCTGCCACTTCGGTTGCTCGGCACGGGACTCGATGTGCCAGTCCCAGACATCCGGCTGCTCCAAATATTTCGATACGTGGCCCCCCGAGGTCTGGACCACTTCCGTAGGGCCGTTTTTTCGTCACAAGTAGTTATGTGACGGTCCCGAGGCCCGGCGAGGGCCCCCAGAAGTTGAAATCAGCCCAAAACCGCCCGCTCCAATTTTTTTGGAGCGTCGGACCTCTGGGTTATTGGCAATGTCCCAATCTCACGCACTTCACTGCCCTCCCCCGCGCATTTCCGAATATCCTCACTTACTCGTCATGTGGGGACCCGAGCTGATGTTTCCCAGCAGCTAATCGACTGTGTGAAAGAATGCCAGACCAAATAGAATCCTTGACGTTCTGAGTTGGTATGTGGTCTGTTTGGTCCCCTTGATCCGGGCCATCTCAGCCTGCAGCTCGCCCGAACGCGGTTGCATTTGAACCGCGATGTGTTCATCACCAGCTCCCCTCCGCGCTTCTGCTCCGCCATCGGGCGCCCCGTTCTCTGCTCCCCCGATTGCGGGCGGCGGGAGTGACGTCGTGGGCGGGGCGTTCATGCCAGAAATTGCCGTGGCAAATCCGTACTCCAGATTTCGTATTAAAGGGAGGGGGGTCTCATTTCTGGGGGTGGTCTCTTCCAGGCTATCTTGGAGGGCCTGGGGGGTCCGGGGACGATGTTTTGGAGACGGGGGAGGTCTGAAGTGGCTTCTCTTGGAGGGTCCAGGCCCCCTCCCTTTTTATTACGAAATCTGGAGCACTCTCCGCCTCTGGCCGTTGAGCCCAGGCACGCCGCCTCTTCCCGGTTGGCCGAGCCTCTCCTCCCGCGGTCCACTGCCCGACCGCGGCGAGGCCCCGCCTCTCCTGGAACGTCGGTGCCCCGGCCTCTCCCCGGATAGGCCGGCGCGCCTCAGGCTGCGTCTACTCCTTCCTCCCTCCTGGTCCTCCCCCTCCCTCCTCCTCCTCCTCCTCCTCCTCCTCCTCCCCCTCCTCCTCCTCCTCCTCCTCCCTCCCCCCTCCTCCTCCTCCTCTTCCTCCTCCTTCCTCATCCCTTCCTCTCCTCCTCCTCCTCCCCTCCTCCCTCCTCCTCATACTCCTCCCTCCTTCTCCGTCCTCCATCCTCCTCCTCCTCCGCCTCCTCCTCCTCCTTTTCCCTGTTCCTCCTCCTCCTACTCCTCCCTCCTTCTCCGTCCTCCATCCTCCTCTCTCCCCTCCCTCCTCCTCCCCTATCGCCGTAATCCGTACTCCACACTCCAAAGGCCTCTTCATATTCGTATCGTCATGGTTCTTAGTGCTAATTCGTTCGTTCTAACACTCGTCAGATTGATTGTCATCGAATTCTTAATCCCGTGTCTTCCATTCTTCTGCGTCCTCCTCCTCTTCCTCATCATCATGAGTTCCCCTTCCTTCTTAAACGTTTGAGATGGTTTGCCATTTTGTGGGCCTCCGCATGCCTCCAGAGTCCTTTTGGGACCTACTCCTCGTCCTCCTCTTCCTCCTTTTGCTGCTTTCTCCGCCCTCAGTCTTGGAGGTTCGAGGATGCGCGTGTTCCAACCATACAGTTTGTTTGTTTTCCGACCGGCCTCTTTCTCTTTTTTGCCGTCGTTGTTGCTGTTGTTGTCGTTGTTGTTGTTATTGGTGTGGTTGGTGTTGTTGTTGTGGTTGTTGTTGTTGGTCTTATTGGTCGTGTTGTTGTGGTTGTTGTTGTGGTTGTGGTTGTGGTTGTTGTTGAACTCTCATTACTGAAGAATAAATTATTGTTGATCCCCCCTCTCTTTTGCACATGGTACTTTTTAATTGAAGTGCCCTTCCCGGCGCTCGCACCTTATTTCTTATGACGGCAAGTCTTGGCCCCCCGGTTACAACAACAACAACAACAACAACGGCTCCCGCTTGAGACCTCCTTCCAATTTAGCCAGGACCCCCGCTCCCGCCTGAGACTTCCTCGCATTTTATTGAGGAGTCGCGCTCTCGCTTGGAACTTCTTTCAATTTATTCAGGAGTCGCTCTCCCGGCGCTCTGGAGGCGCGCTTTCGCTGGAAACTTGCTTACAGCTTACTCAAGAGTAGCGCCCTTGCGTTGGAATTTCTTGCAATTTATTCAAGCGCCGCGCTCCCGACACTCAGGCACCCTGGAGTCGCGCTCACG